CAACACTTACTAATTTCAGAGAGAAAAAGCCAAGGCAAGGGAGAGGCAGGCCTTGCACCAGGCAACGAAGGGCAAGCAGGGCCAAGACTCAGAGCAAGTGTCACAGTTGGCCTCTGGTGCTGTTTACAGTTGTTTTTTGTCTTTTTTTCCCTATAACCTGCCTTCCTCCTGGGTCCTCAAAATTCACCAGCCTGACTGCCACTGGTCACCCCACATCCCCTGTGAGGAGCAGAACTCATGCCAGACTCACAGGGGTGGAGTCCTGTTGTCCAAAGGGCCCTCTGATAAGAACGCAGAAAATCCCCCAGACAGATGTTTGTGGGCTCTGTGAACCCACAAACACTCTCCTGGCAGAACAACTGGGGCGGGGAGAGGGGGGTGGCGAGGGGTGGAAAGCATATGAGGGGAGATAGGCGCCTGTTGGCATGAGCTGAGATCACCCCACTTAGGGACCCAAAAGACCCTGTGACTATTCAATAGGCTCAGCTGGACCCCCAAAATCACAAGAAAGATCACCTGGGATGACTACAGCTCAGAGGTGGGGTCTTGGACAAATTCTTTGGTCAATAAGGCATCTCAGATCCCAGGCAAGCCCTGCCCACCCTGCCTCCCTCAGGATGTGAGGAGAACCCTCACTCAGGGGAAAGGTAACCCCAGAATCACTGGGAAAGGGATCTGGCATTGCCACCAGCATTGCCTGGTGGAGCCTGGAGGAGTCACCAGCTGGAGGTGTTCAGCCAGCACCCTCGCCCAGCCCGGCCCAGACTCTCCAAAACGTGGGGAGGGGAGCTTGGCTCAGACACGCTGGACACGAAGAGTTTTGCTTATAGGGCAGTGGGAGTGGGCAGGGAGCATGTAACTCAGGGGGCTGGTGCCAACATCACAGTGGCTCGCCGACGGGCACCTTGGGCTGCAGAGCGCAGGGCACTGCACTCCATGCCAACAGCACCTTCCGACCTCACGGGAAGTGGCCACTGGCCTCAGCCCTCGTTGCCAGGCTGCCAGCATCACCCAGGGGAGAGCCTCCTTGTCTTTCCTCAGGTGGCAAAATTGGGCCCCGAGTGAGGGACAAATGTCAACGTAGGGTCAGGACTGAGAATAAAGATGACAAAACTCAAACCCGTAATATTAGTATCTTTGTGTTGAAGTCAAGACAAATGCACTGTGTTTAATTTCAATGAACGTACAATGTGCAAGCAAACTGGGCACATTCTCAGAGTTACCAGATTCTGGATGTCAATTTAAAGCAGGAAATGGAGTAATTTATCTCAAATAAAGATTGTAAGTTGAAAATCACTCTGCTCAGAGCAAAGGTGGAGAGGAGGGAGCCTCAAGTTCATCAGTTCCCAGCACAGGAGGGGTGGGGAGTGGCGGACAGGGGTGCAGAGGCGGCTGTGAAAACCGCGCCATCAGACACCTCTGAGGCACCGCCTCCCAGACTTCAGAAGTAATAACATCCTGCTTCCGGAGGCACCATCTCCCAGACAAGTAATATCCTGTCCTGACTAGTTGGCTCAGTGGATACAGCTATGGCCCTTGGACTAAAAAGTCCCTCAGGAGGGGTGGGGAGTGGCGGGCAGGGGTGCAGAGGCGGCTGTGAAAACCGCACCATCAGACACCTCTGGGGCACCGCCTCCCAGACTTCAGAAGTAGTAACATCCTGCTTCCGGAGGCACCACCTCTCAGACAAGTAATAACATCCTGTCCTGCCTAGTTGGCTCAGTGGATACAGCTATGGCCCTCGGACTAAAAAGTCCCAGGTTCAATTCCAGTCAAGGTCCTGTACCTGGGTTGCAGGTTTGATCCCCAGCCCTGGTTGGGGTGCAGGTGGGAGGCAACCAATCGATGTGTCTCTCTCATATCAATGTTTCTCTCACTGTCCCTTCACTCTCTCTAAAAAAATCAATGGAAAAATATTGTCAGGTGAGGATGAACAACAACAAAAAAGTAATAGCACCCAGTTACTGAGAAAGTCAAGATGGCAGCTCCTCAAAGATTAACCGGAGGCTGACATCACGATCCAGCACTTCTCCGCACGCCCCCCGAATTCAAGCAGGGTCTCGAAGAGATACCTGTCCACTCATGTTCACGGCAACATCACTCACAACAGCCAAAGGTGGAAGCGACCCAGGTGTCCATCGGTGGGTGACCGGATAAGAACTCTGTCACACACACGATGGAGTATTATTCACCCCGAAAAGGCCATTCTGACAGGCTACCGCATGGAGGACCCTCAAGGACAATATGCCTCCCTGTAAGGTCATCACAAAGGACAAATGCTCTCTGACTCCACCTATGAGGCACCGGGGTAGACAAGTTCACAGACAGGAAGAAGTCAGGGGCTGGGAGGGGAGGGGAGGAGACCTGGAGTGCTCCATGGGGACAGATTTCCAGTTTTGCAAAACAGTTCTGTGGATGGATGGTGGCGATGGCTGCACAATGTGAATGGACGCAATGCCGCCGAACTCTACCCTTCAAAAAGGCTGAGGGTGTATTTTGGAGCGCATCCTATCACGATTTTCTCAACATTTAATTCACCTTAAGAAGCCCAGGAAAGAAATAGCAGCATTGAGTCCTTTACACCCTGGGAAGCATTGTCACCCACACAATCCTAACTCTCGCACGGCCTGCGAGGAAAACATGTATCACACCTTCCCAAACAGAAAACCAAGGTTCCCACAGGGTGACATGCTGGCCCCCGGAGGGAGGAAGCTGGTGGTCTGGTTCCTGTTTCGTTGTGTTTTGGACCATATGCCCTTTCC